GGGGACAGGGGACACGGCACTGGCCCGGGGAGATCGCACCAGAGGGGTGGGGAGGGGGACAGGGGACACGGCACTGGCCCGGGGAGATCGCAGCACGGGGACGGAGGGGGACAGGGGACACGGCACTGGCCCGGGGAGATCGCACCACTGGAGCAGGAACGTCCCATCGTTGCTATGGAGACCGCGCCGCGGGGGAGGAACGTGCTGCCGTTGCCACGGAGACCGCGGCTGGTTACTCACCGCGCCGGCCCCGGGGGGTGGGGAGCGGATCAGCAGGCGGGTCTCAGCGCCCTGCAGCCTCCTCCGCACCCGGCACCGGCATTTCCGGTCCGGCCCCCACTCTGGTCCGGGTCCCGTAGGTCTCCTTCGTCCTCCGCCCCCTGCAACTCACTTCCGGTCCGATCCCTTCAGCAGCTCCCCCACTTCCTGTCCTTATTGCAGGAGCCCGGACTCCTGGGTTCTAAGTCCCGGCCAATCACCGGCCCCCACAGAGAAGCGGTTCCGCGTCCCTCTCCACCGAGTGGACCGAGCCCCACGCGGGAGGGGAACAGGCACCGCCCAGCCAGCGAGAATGGCCGGCGGCTCTGGCCTTTGCCAGCCCCGGAGCAGTGACAGAAGGGTCCTGAGCTGTCAATCCCAGGAGTAGCCAGAGCCAGAATGATAGCGGGGGAGGGGTTCCTGAGGCACCAGCCGGAGGCGGGGGCGCAGAGCTGGGGTGATGGGGGGAGGGAGGGTGCCCGAGGCGCCGGCGGGGGGGGGGGGGGGGGGGGGGGGGTAGAGCTGGGGTGATAGGGGGAGGAAGGGTCCCTGAGGCACAGGTAGCGAGGAATAGAGCAATCAGGCCCAGGGCCAACCAGAGTTGGGACAATTGCAGTTTCTGAGCCACCACACCCAGCCCCAGTAGAGACACCCAGAACATCACTTTTTTTTTTTTTCTTTTTATTGTTCATCTTTTATCAAAACATGAAGTCAATGATTGCTTCGGCCCCTGCAGGGCCAGGCCGCCCGTGGCTCTGTCTGTCCATCCATCTGGGGGGAGGAGGCAGTTTGGGAATAAAAAGACATGCCAGTGCCAGCTCTGCCCCTCTGTGCGAGGAATGCTACCCCACAGACACCTGGACAGTGGCAGGACAAAGGTAGCAACATTGGAAGAGCCGAGGGAGGGCGTAGGGACGAATACTCCCGCCCTTACCCCTCACTGTCACTTCTCCTGCCAGGAGAGGGGACGAGGCTGCATTTGGGCCCAGTCCTAGCAGCTTGAGAGGCACCGTTAGGTCTCACTGTGAGCCAAGATGCAGCTAGTTCTTCCCCTTGCCCACAGTCTGGATTCTGATCCCCAATCCCACATGATCCATCTGCTCCCTCACCACTATAAATACAAGCGACAGTGAGTCGCTGTCATCCATACCTGAAACAGCAGAACCCTCCCCTTCCCAGCTGCAGGGGCAGTACACAACCTGCCCCTCCCCCCCACCATGGGATGGGGGCAGGGGCTGCAGGAAGGTGAGGGTGCCCTCCCACACCAGTGGTGGGATACAGGGAGGCTCCCTGCACCTGCACATTCCAAAATTTGCTTCTGGTCCAGCAGCATTGCTTAGGGGACAGGCTGAGTTAGATAGGGCACCACCCATAGAGGAAGGGCAGCCAGAAGTGTGTGAGAGAGAAGTAGTGAGTCCTTCTAGGGCAGGAAGGGGGGTGTCAAAGGATCGGGCCAGCCAAAGTGTTTGGTCCCACTTTTGTGCCGGGGCACCTAAATGTTTCTGGAGAACTTGGTGACTGGCAGCTGCTCCTGCTCCCACCCCTACTAGGAGGGGCCTCTGATCAGCAAGGGGTGTGGGACAGTAACACACCAACCTGGCTCCCAGCCCAAAGATTTGTCATTCAGAACCAGGAGCAAATATTGCTAGAAATTAGTCTATGAAGCAGCTCAGAGAAAGATAAGGGTGGTAGGGGCTGGGCATTCCCACCTCCCTGCCACCCCTACACTGTGGAGGGCTGGGGGTGGTGGTGGTGGTGTCAGAACTCCCGTCTGCCCTTCTCAGAGGAGACCAGCACTGAGATACAGGGAGAGGAGTGGGGTACTGCTGGCTCAAGGCCCCATCCCTGCCTGTGAAGGCTGGGGGGAGGGTGGGGGAGCATCATCCTTCACTCCAAGCCCCCCCCTCCACCCCCACGGTACGGCATTATCGCAGGGAGATGCTCCAATCGGCTCCGATGTTGACGCCAGGTTTGCGGAGAGTCAGGACAGAGGTCTCCGGCTCATGCTGGAAATCCAGGCGTGTATCGGCCATACCTGCAGGAGGGGCGGCCATTAGAAAGGAGAGTTCCCTGGAGCACTCTCCCCCACCCCACAACTTGGACCCAACCCCCACAGGACATTTACTGCCATCCCCCATGACTGGACCAGGAAGTCCAGAGGCCCCTTGGCCCTGTGCCCGCACTCACCAGGCTGTCTGAGGAAAACGGCGGCTGGCTTCCCTGCTCCCAGGATCACCACCCGCTCAATCCAGGCTGGGCTCTCGAAGACGCCTTTGGAATCTGCCGATCTAGAAAAGGGGACAGAGCCTGGGGGTCAGAGGCTGCCAGATAGGGGACAGAGCCAGGCTGTCCAGGGTGGGCAGCACTGCTAGGCCAGCACTGTATGTGGGGGGAAGGGAGGCTACCTGGCAGTCTGGGAGGAATTGTGGGCTAGTGCCATTTGGGAAGAGGGGTGTCAGCATTGTGCTGGTGCAGCATGGGTACCAGCATCAAGGTGGGACAGGGTGGGGTGGCAGCCCAGCGCTGGGGAGGAGAGGAGGAGGAGAGGTGCGGCACCAGTAACAGGCCGGCACCATGTGGGTACCTGGCTGTCAGAGTGTTGCTGGCAAAGCTGAAGTGGCGGTACAGGTACTGGGCCTTGCTCTCGAAGTTGTACGTGTGCCCATCGTCAATGAAGAGATCTCCTTCTGCTGTACCCTGTGTGGAGACAGAAGCTGGTAAATAGTGGCAGGGTTACTAGAAAACCCCCACTTTGGGGCCCTGCATCACTCACCTGGGGGCTGAGCGCCACGTAGAGTGTGTAGGGGTCACGGTACATGCAGTCCGATGAGCGGCGTACCCGCTCCTTCCGCGGCACAATGCTCCCGCCCCGCTGGTACGCAGGGATCTGCAGGGAGAGGAGTGGTCAGTGGCCCTAGCCAGGGCTGCCCCTCAGGGCTGGATCGAAGCCATGCCCCTGGAGGGGAAAGGCGCCGTGTCCCATTGCGCACCCACTGAGCCAGCCAACCCCTCTACCCTGGAGCTGGATCAGAGCCAGAGCCCCCTAGAAATGAAGGCCCCCTGTCCCATTCCCCAGTGGGGATGCCCCTCCATGACTCACACTGCTCATGATGACAGGCACATAAAGCGTCTGGGGGGCATGGTGCTTCTGGTGCGAGTGGACATCATACCAAACCTGCCAAGAGAGGAGAAGTTACAGGGGATGCCAACAGCCAGTGCCCCATAGCTCTCAGCATCCCGCTGCCCTTCCACCACAAGCCACCTCCCTCCTCACCTCTCCTTTGCCAGGCAGGTAGACCTGCACGCCACGGGCTCCCTGCTCCGTCACCGGGTGGACCAGCAATGCATTACCTGGGGGGAGGAGACAGCAAGGTCAGCAGCAGCTAGGACATGGGGTGGGAGGGGGAGAGAAGGGGAGGGCAGTACCTACCCCCCAGCCAGGGATCCCCATGGGCTGGGCACTCACCAATCAGGAACTGGTCATCAATGCTGAAGGTGGTGACATCATCAGGGTACTCCACCCAGAGCGGCCTGGAACAGAGCAGGGCATGAGGGGGGCGACCAGACACTGACCTCCATGAGCCCCTCAAGCTCCTGCACTCTGTGACGAGCAGTGCCCCTGCCCCGAGCCACCCCCATTACCCAGCAACGCATCCCCCAACTCCATCCCCAGCCATGCCCTCACCCCAAGAGGTCCCACACTGTCCCCAATGCTGCCCTCTCCAGCGGTGCTCCCACTCCATCCTCAGCCATGTCCCTAACCCTAGAGCCCCCCAACTACCCAGCCCAAGAGCTCCCGCACTATCCAGCGATGCCTGTGCCCCAAGATCTCTATCCTCCAACCTCTGCTCACCTCATGACAGGCTGGCCAGAGCGGTAGCTGTGGTAGAAGGTTGTGTACCAGTAGGGCAGCAGGGCATAGCGCTGGCGGACGGCAGCACGGATCAGGGCCTTGTTCTCCTCCCCAAACAGCCAGGGCTCACGCCGCACAGTGTCCAGGTGGGCATGGGCTCGGTAGAAGGGCTGGTAGGCGCCAACCTGGTACCAGCGCACCAGCAGCTCCACATCCGGGCTCTTGAAAAAGCCACCCACATCAGCTGCAGCAGGACAGACAGGGCCAAGTTGAGTGCCTGGTCTGACCCCAGTCCCCAATGTCCCCCACCAACCTTCCTCCTGCCCCCTAAGAGATGGGGCTGTGGAAAGAGCCCAGTCTGACCCCAACACCCCCCCTGCTCCGCCCAGCACCAGAGGTGAAAGCCTGACCCTAAGCCCCTCAGGCCCCCAATCCACTGAGAGACAATGCCAAGGTAGGAGTGACCAGTCTGACCCCCAACTCCCCCTCACCTCCCTGTCCTGCCAACCCCTAGCCCTCAGCCACAGCCTGGAAGGAGAGCAGCCAAGGCCAGCAGCCAAGGCCAGCCCTGCCCCATGCACACACTCACCACCGCAGAAGGAGATGCCTGCCAGGGCCAGGCTCAGGCACATGGGGATGGAGATCTTCAAGTGGTCCCACTCGGCCGCGTTGTCTCCCGTCCACACCGCGCCTGTGAGGGGGTGGGCGCCAGAGAAAGGAATAAGGACAGAGCAGTCCCCTGTGCTCAAGGGGGTTACAAGACTCCCCTGACCCTGGGATGTGCAGTCTGGTGCACCAAAAACACTCGTGCCAGGTCTTAAATGAAAGCCAGGCTCAGACTGGTCATTGCTATTGGTGTGAAACGTATGAAGATACGACGTGAGGTACCTGTGGATACTGACCACGCCGTCTGCCAGGCGGTACCCAGGCAGAGCTGCCCAACAGCTTTCCACCATACCAGGTGTGCATTCACCTGGCTCTTGGGCAGCATGTAAATGGAGCACTGTAAACCAACGCTGCAGAAGCCCCGATTGCGTATGAAGTCAAGAGGGGGGAGGGATGTGAAATCAACAGGGAGGTGGCACACTGCCATGGGGTGACCCTGGGGACAGACAAGGAAATTTGGGGATAAAAGGTGGCAAGAAGCCCCTCCTTTCTCCTGCATGTAGGAAGCAATTGGGCAGTGCAATCACATTCATGAAAATGATCACAACCAGCCTTGGTTGAAAGGCTGCAAAGGATATTCAGGGTGAGCGAAAGGGCTTTCGCCAGGAGATCAGCCTGCGACGTGTCTCAAGAAAGTGGGTGCTGCTTCTGGTTTGTGTGGGACCCTTTTGTCTCCGTTATCCTACCTCACAGTCTCAGTCCTGGGTCCCCTGAAAACCATCACAACCTCTTCACTACCCGCCCGCGCAAGGGCGCCGGGGGTCAGAGCGCAACCCACCCACTCACCGTAGCGCTGGGAGCCGGCAAAGAAGGCACGGCTCAGCACGAAGGGGCGCTCAAGGCCCCCCGAGCGCTGCTCCAGTCCCTGTGCTGTCGCCATTTGCTGCCGGAGGGAAAAGAGACCCTGTGAGGGTGACGGGCAGAGTCTGCCAACACCTTTCCCCAACTGGGACCTCCCCCCTCCTTAGGGAAACCCCATCCCCCTGGGAGCCTACCATGGGGTTGCAATCCCCAACCCCAGGTGAGTGACACACTTCCTGTACTGGGAACCCCCCTCATTGGGATCTCACCATGGGGGTGACTTCCCCATCCCCCTTAGCCATGGGCCAACCCTCCCACCAGAGGCTCTTGAGCTCCCAACACTCCTGGTGCCTCCCCACACCATGTAGAAAGTTGTGCAGGTGGCAGTGCCCCCCCAGGACCTCCTCACCACACAGAAGGTCGTGCAGGTGGCAGTGTCCCCCCCGGGTCTCCCACCCCCTCACCACGTAGAAGGTTGTGCAGGTGGCTGTGCCCCCCAGGGCCCCCTCACCACGTAGAAGGTTGTGCAGGTGGCAGTGCCCCCCTCCCCCCCCGAGCCCCCTCACCACATAGAAGGTTGTGCAGGTGGCAATGCCCCCCAAGTGCTCCATGCCCCCTCACCACGTAGAAGCCGTAGAGGTTGTGCAGGTCGCGGTGCTCCCAGCTGCCCTCGTGCAGGGCGTCTTTGTACATGGTCACCTCAGGGCCGTTGAACACGGATGGTTCATTCATGTCGTTCCAAATGTACAAGTTCTCCATGGAGGCCTGGGGGACGGGGGGGCAATGAGACACAGGCAGCACCCCAGTCCTCCTGCCCCACCTGGGAAAAACTGCTGAGTCAAGGGACAGCCCAATGCTGGACCCCCAACTTGAGTGTGGGGACAGCTCACCCCATGGCTCCACTCCCTGCCCATGGCCCCACTTCCATCCTACCTCATATTGGTCGTAGGAGAACATGCTGGCCCACCAGGCACGCATCTCAGGGTTGGTGAAGTCGGGGTAGCCAGACGAGCCTGGGGTGGGGGGGAAATGGGAGGATTAGTGACACCCTAGGGGCTCCATGCCTAGCACTCTGCCAGGCACCCCCTCCTGGCCAGCCCCACCCCCACCCTGTCCCAGGCCACAGCCCTGTCCCCCATCCTAACAGCATCCCCAGCTCACCTGGCCAGCACCAGCCTTCATAGTCGCTGCCGTCCTTGGTCTTGACATAGAAGCCACGGGAGCGGATCTCGTTGTGGACCCGGTACCCGCTGTCCACCTTGATGTGCGGGTCCACAATGGACACCATCTGGGGGGAGGGGCCAGAGACTTGAACCGGGCACCCCCACAGTCCGAGGGGGGTCAGGTGGGGCAGGGCATTCCTTGCCATTCAGGCTGGGCTCATGGCCATGTACCTCTGCAGGGACCTGACAGAGGGCCTCCTGCCAGCAGCCACCCCAGTGGCTTGAGGTGGTGAGGACATCTCCCTTTCTATTTCTTGGCCCAGGACGCTGCGGGGCTGGGGGAACCGACTAAGGTCCTCAGTGAAGTAGCACCGGGGAGTGCAGGTGGGCGCTGGCGGGGTCGGGGAGGGGGGCATTGGTGAGTGGGCACCAGAGAAATTGGGTTGGGGCGGGCGCCTTGCTGGGTGGGCACAGAGAAGTTGGGTTGGGGGAGCGCCGGTGGGGTCGGGTTGGAGGGGCCATTGCTGGGCAGGCGCCGGCAGGGTAGGGTCAGGGGGACGTTGGTGGGCAGCCGCCGGAGAAGTCGGGTGTGTGGGGGGCATTGGTGGGCAGCCGCCAGAGAAGTCGGGTCGGGTCAGGGGGGAGCGTGTTGGGGAGTAGGCGCCGGAGAAGTCGGGTTTGGGAGGGATCAGTGGGTGGGTGCCAGAGAAGTCGGGGCGGGGCGGGCGCCGGTGGGGTTCTCACTTTGCGTCTCTTGGCGGCCAGGCGCCCCAGCATGTTGCGGGGCTGGGAGAACTTGTTGGGGTCCCAGGTGAAGTAGCGCTTGCCGTCGGTGTGCTCAATGTCCAGCCAGATGACATCGCAGGGGATGTCATGCGTGTCGAAGCCATCGTCCACAGCAGCCACGTCCTCCTCGTCGTTGTAGTTCCAGCGGCTCTGGTGATAGGCCATGGCAAAGAGCGGGGGCAGGGCCTGTGTGCCTGGGGGAAATAGGAACCAATATATGGGGCGCCCCACCCACCCCATGGAGCCACCTTTCCCTCGCACCCAGCTCCCCTGACAGGGCTGTGTAGAGACCCCCCAGCCTGGCCTGACGCAGCCCCCTCCGGACCCGTCAGGGCCACATAACCCCATCCCCACTTCTCTGTGCCCATCAGGGCCGCGTAAACTCTTCCCTCCTCCTGTACCTGTCAGGGCTGCATAACCCCCCCCCCGGCCTATACCCACCAGGGCCACATACCCCCGCCCACTGGCCTGTACCCACCAGGGCCTTGTATCCCCCTCTCCGTCCCACCTGTACCCATCAGGGCTAGTAACCCTCCCCCAGGCCTCCCACCAGGGCCACGTACCCCCACCCGCTGGCCTGTACCCACCAGGACCTTGTATCCCCCTCTCCCCACCACCCATACCCGTCAGGGCTCGGTAACTCCCCCAACCTGGCCTGTACCAGTCAGGGCTGTGTACTGCCTGAAGACATCGGTAGGCGCAGGCCCCAGCAGCAGAAAGACATCAATGATGCCGCTCTCCGACATCCAGCGCACATCGGTCTGGGGGGTCTCGCCGCCTCCCTGCATGTAATCCAGCATCTTCCCGAACAGTGTCTGCAGGGGGAGTCGTCAGCATTGGGGGGTAGGGGAGTACCCGCTCCCCCTCCAACCCCTCCACCCAGAGCCAGCCCCCACCCTGTACCCCACTGGAACCAGCTTCCTTCCCCCCGCTTGGAACTACCCACACACACACTATCCCCCCAGGAGACAATTTCTGAATCCCGCCCTGCCAGCCCAGCAGGAGCCAGTGCCCCCATACCTTGCCAGCTGTGTTGGAGCTGATGTCGACCCAGGTCTCGGCGGCATTGAGCCAGAAGATGCCCAGGGTGCGCTGGGTGTTGTGGGCCAGCAGGAGTGGCACGGAGCCGTACAGTGCCATGGGGTTGTACAGCTCATATTGGAATACATCCAGGTTGTAGAGGCGGTATGGGTCACCCCCCCTGTGGGGACACACATCAGGTCACTGCCCTGCCCCTCCCATCCCCAACCCTGAGAGGAACAGCACCCCGTCCCACAACAGTCCCTCAGCCTCCCCTCCCCCCAGCCCCAACAGGAGCAGCACCCCTGCATCGCCCATGGGCCCAGACAGGCACAGAACCCCCCACAGCGCCAACGGGCCCCCTCCTCACTCAGTGGTGCGCAGGCGCAGGTTGTCGGCGTGCTCCGGGATCCCATAGACGTGCTCAAAGCCAGGCAGCGAGAAATCCAGCCCCACCGAGGTCGGCCCTGGAATGAGGGGGTCGTGATAACGCTGCAGCTCTCAGCAGCCCGTGGGGTCTGGGGCAGCATGGCACCGCCAGGCCCTGCCCAGAAAGGGACCTCCTCGCCCCAGCACGATGCCCCCATGCTGGCTGTACAGGCTGGGGCCCAGCGTCACTCCCACTGCCAGCGCCACCACAGCAAAAGGCTCTATGGGGCAAGGTAGGCATGGGCATTGGTCTCCTCCAACCAATGGGCCTGTCCAGCCCAGTAACCCCCGGCTCCAGGTCAGAGCAATGGGCCCGTCTAGCCCAGTAATACCCCCCACCCCCCGATCAGAGCAATTGGCCCGTCTAGCTCAGTAACCCCCACACTCCAGATCAGAGTAATTGGCCCGTCTAGCCCCACACGGTGGGGTCAGGATGGCTCTCACCATTGGGCTTGCTGTCCGTGTGGGTCTTGAACGTCTCTTCCCAGGAACCCAGCTCCTCGTCAGCCCGGTCCGGCCCGTCTGACACCTCCTCTGACTGAGAGGGATGGAAGTTAGACAGGGGAGCTGCAGGGATGAGTATGGGTGCCCCCAAGCTCCCATTCACACCCACGGGGCACCCTTCTGGGGGAGCAGGCCAGCCTCCACGTGCATGGGGCACGGTAGGCAAGTCCTTTACGTGCCTTTGCACCCAGTTACTGCTCAGCTACCCCCTCCCACAGAGGCTCTACCCCCTCTGCCATACAAGTCCTCCCAACCACAGCCACCTGAGTCTCTGCACAGGGCCCCCACCCCCTGCTCCACACGAGTCCCCTTCTCTCTCACACACCTTTGTGCTCTTCTCACTGGACTCCTGGTCCCCAGGCAGAGCTGGCTTGGTCTCCTCCTCGGCTGCCCCGCCCTCCGGGGCTGACTCCTTTGACTCCTCCCTGAAAGAGGCAGAGGGAAGAAGAGCCGGCTCAGCACCTGCCCTGGGCACCACCAGGGCACGGCAGCACCAGGGATGACGCCCCAAGCTGGGCACAGCTGCATCTCCAGGGCAGGCAGGCACCGTTAGTCTCTAAAAGCAGGAATCACTCACGCACAGGCTGGCACCAGGTTAGCGGGGACGGGGGGCGAGAGGGGACAGCCCAGCCCAGATGCACCCCTGACCTGACTCTCTCCCTCTGGGCAGAGCCTTCCCTCTATGCCAGGGAGGGTGCTGCCCCCACCCCAACACTCCACAGTCCAGGGGGCTGGGTCCCCCATGCTAACATACTCGGGGGCAGGTCTCATCGCCCAAAGGGAGAGCAAGCATCCCACCACCAGCAGGGTCCTATGGAGCTAGAGGGCTGGGGCGGAGACCGGTGTAAAGGGGGTTCAGAGAGTCTCAGATTGGGGCTACAATACCACTGTGAGGGAGGGGACAGTGCCAGGTGTCTCCCAGCCCCAGGGCAGCTCCTTCCCTGACAGCATTCATTGGAAGATTGGATTCAGTCTGAGGGGGGCAGGGCTGGGCTCACCTGTCCCTGCCACCACCACCCCCCGGATACAGCCACTCCCCCTGCATGGCCCCTGGGGCAGGGCACGGCCCCTCTCCCCACCTGATCCCCATTCCTTCCTTCCCCAGGAGACACAGCCCCTCCCTGGCCCACCCCCCTGCCCTGCCTGGCCCCCAGGGGGACAAAGCCCCTCCCCAACCTACCCCCCGGGAGGAAACAATCCACAAACAGATTCTACCTGTCCAAGTCCACAGAGCCCCCATGTTACCCTCCCCTAGCTCCTGCAGGTGGCTGCCCAGGCAGGCCCCTGCCCTGAGCAGCTAGGGGGTCCCATGCACCTGCCGGCTCCCTCCCTGTGTGTGTCCTGCCTGCCTGGCACAGCCTGCCACTGGGACAGGGATTAAGTCACTGAGGGTCTGGGGAGTGCTCAGAGGGAGCAACCCCACCCCCCCCGACAATGAGGCAGGGGGTGAACACCATCCCCCTGGGACTAGAGGAGGGGGGAGGATCAGCCCCAGGGCTCCCCAAATCTGGACACAGGGGGAGGAAGAAGGGATTGGTCCCAGGGCTCCCCAGCTGTACTACTACAGCCCCCGGCTATGGGCGGGTTGTGGGGGTCAGAGACAGTAGCAGAAGCTGTGGATTTACCTATAGAAAAGGCTCTTGATCTTATCCCACAAGCTACCGACCGAGCTACTAACTTTATCCGAGAAACTGGGGCCGGGGGAGGCACAACCAACAAAACAGAAACAGCGAGAGTCAGTGCATGGAATTCCAGACAGAGAGATCCCCGCCCCACCTTCACCTGCCCCTCACCAGGCCCTGCGCCCCCAGGAGCACAATAGATGCAGCAGGGACTGCTCCCCCTCCCAGCTGTGCCTCCTAACAGAGTCACAGCAAGGGGCTGGGTTCCAGCCCCTACCCCCTCCAGCCCCCCAGCGACCAGCCTTGGAACCAGCCCCCAACCATGGTCTCCAGAGAGAAGAAATCGAGGGGTTTGGGCTGTTCACCAACAGCTTGAACATGGATGCTGCCTCACTACAGCGCCCCCCTGCTGGGAGAGGCCAGGGCTGGAGTAGCTGGGAGCTCTCCCTGCAGCCACCGCACTGGCCCAGCCCCCTATATGCCCCCTGCCGGGAGAGGCTTGGACTGAGCGCACTAAGCTGAATGGAAGCTGGTCACCCCTCAGGGATCAGAACCCTGGTGGCTCTCAGGGACACAGCCCCACCTGCAGGGAGGCACTCACAGCTGCCAGGGCTACGGGCTGGACAGGCCCAGAGCTCCCCTCCCCCCGGTACTCACGAGTCCTTCCGATGCCGCAGGTGCTCAAAGTGCAGCAGCCCTCGGGGGTTGACGCTCAGCACCAGCTCCCGCCCCTGCAGCAGGTCCATGCGGAACGGCTTCCCTGTCAGGATCAGCTTGTGTCCAGAGTCGCCCAATGAGAGCTCCACACTGTTCTCGTCCCGGCCCGTCACCGCCAGCCTGGGGGGCAGCAGAGAGGGGATGGAGGGCAGAGATATGGACGGGGGACACAGTTAGCCTGCAGGGCCAGAGCCATGGGGGACCCCCTGCCCATCCCCCCTCATCTGCTTACTCAGGGAGCACTGCTGGAAGAGCAGGCCCAAGGGTCCCCCGCTGTTAGCCCCACAACTCCCCCAAGCACAGCAAAGGGAGTCCCCCTCCCTGCAAGGCCTCTTACCAGGTGGTGGGTGGGTCGCGCACCAGCACATCGGGCACCTCGTAGCGTGGGCGCAACGGGCTCAGCTCATTGATCTTGATGCGCGTCATGTTCCCCTGCAGCCCGTACAGCTCCAGCAGGAGTGGGACCTGGGGAGAATTAGTGTCAGCCTCACACCAGTCCCAAGGCCTCCCCTCCCCCAGCATCCTCCACCAGGGGACAAGCCAGTCTCCCTGGCCAGAGGGAACCCTAGGAATCGCTTTGAAGAGCTGGGGAGTCGTGCATCATCCTGGCCCCAGCCCTCCTGCTCCAACCCACTGGCTCCCACTCCCCTCCCAGCACTGGGAATAGAACCCAGGAGTCCTAGTTCCCAGTCCCCTTGCCTCATTAGGCCCCACATCTCTCCCAGAGCTGGAGACAGAACCCAGGAGCAGTAGTTAGTCTTAAATCTGAAGGTGCTGTAACGCCAATAAAATACTGATTTTCTTACACAAGAATTATTAAATGAATTCACATTTTAGTTGTATTCTGAATGGCTAAACCAGGCCTGGCTGAGGACTGGCAGGTTATCCGAAGTGATGTGTCCAGATTAAAAACAACATACCCAGACACACACACATTTATGGTGGGGGGGGGGGTGCCAAACCCGTGCGGATCGGAGGGAACTGAATTGAGGGACATACCGGCGACTCCAGAGGGGTCTGGCTGCATATCCTGGCTGCTCTAGGGTTACCCTGCTTGAGTCCTTTCCAAAAGGTTCCTGCCAACCTCTCCACCGCAGCTCATTCGGCCACCCCAGTCCCTGCTCAGTAACCAGCTGTAACCTCGGCAGCCTTTAGTCTCCAGCTCTAATGCCATCCCCCCAGGACTCACCCACATTGCGTCCTGCTCACTCCAGGGCACACAGACACCCCCCCCACACACACACCCTGGCCCCAAGGCTGAGCTGCCCAGATGCAGTGGCTCATGTGACCTGGCCAGAGAAGGAGCTGTCGAGCCCCTGCCCCGGAGGGTGAGGGTCATGTACCTTTGCTGGCTGCACTAGATGCTGCCACTCGCTCTGGAGCTTTGCGAAGTCCAGCAGGACCATGCACGCAACATGCCGCTCATCGTGGGTGAGCGGGTCCCCCAGCAGCATGGAGGCTCAGGGACCAGGCCCCCTTACGGCTCGACTACAATATTGCCACTGCTGCTGAACAGTACCAGAACAGCTTCCAGTGCGACGCCGCCACCACCGCCAAGAAATCCTGACTCCCACTCAGCCTCTGCTCTCATCAGACCCAGGACCTGGATCTCAGGGCTGGGCCCTAGCTTAGCCACAGGCCTTTCGAGCCCCCACCCCGAACTGGGCCCCCCTCACCTTATTCACTTCGTTGACAAGCTGCAGTTTCATGGAGTCCTGGCTGAACTGGAGCGACTCCAGCAGTGCCCGGTAAGGGGAGCTCCCGGGCTTCACGCTCCTCTGACGCCTGGGGACAGGGGGAGGGTTAGAGCAGCCAGCGCCAGGTGCAGCCTCCAGGGGAGCAGCTCAGCCTGGCTCCCTGCTCTCCAGATCCCAACAGCAGCGCAGCTTGTTTGTATCTCTGCTCCCTGCCCTGGGGAGAGCTGGGAGGAAAATCCAGGCTAGGAGCTGCACAACAGCCCACCCCCCACGGAAACCCACTGCCAGTGCAAGGGGGAGTGGCCAGAGAGAGCAGCAGCTCCTGGTCCCATCTGGGGGCCATGATCCTCCCAGCCCGGTCCCCTCCATTCCTGCTGCCTGCCCTCGCTGTTCCCCCTTTGCTTTGTTCAGCCCTACGCCCCTGCCCTGCTACTCACTTGCAGAAGGAGCTCTGCTCACATGTCTTGAAGTTGCTCCTGTCCACAGCACAGGCAGCAGCGAGGCAAAGGGCCATCCAGGCGAGAGCTGCCATCCCCAGCCTGGAAGAGAGCCGGGGTCAGAAGAGGCGAGCTCTGGGGAATGCCCAGCCCAGCACATGGGTTTCCCAGAGGGGGCAGCACTGGTTTCAGGGTACCCAGCACCTGCCCTGAGTCAGGGACAGCATTGGCCCCTTGCTAGGGTTAATGCCAGTGTGTGTGTGGAGGGGGATGGGACTTGGGGGGGAATTAATGCATCAGCATCAGAGTTAACCCCAGTGCCAGGAGAGGAGAGACAGCACTGCCCCCCTTACATGGGCAACATGGGTCGCAGGGGGCAGTTCAGCACAGGTCCTGCCCTAGGGGCACCCACCTCCAGCACTTGGCACTCAGGACAGGGCAAATATAGCTGGCAGACCCCCTCATTCTGCCAGACTCTTGTGAGAAGCCCATTTCCCTACTTCCCAGGGCAGAAGCCTCAGGTGAGCCAGATGAGCCATGGGACTCATTAAAGGACCTGCTATTGGGTCCCTCTGCCCCACGGGCCCCTCCGACATGCAGGCAAGGGGCACTGGGAGAGGTTCTACCTGGGAGTCACCCTCGCAGGGGCAGCTCCTGATGCAGCAGGGGGAGGAGGCGAAGGACAGGGTCCCTTCATGCTGGCACGGAGCAAAGGGCACCTTCCTGCAGGAAGCGCTTGCGACACAGGCCGCAGGGCCATGCAGCACCATGTGAATGGGGCTTGCTACTCGGTGCCAGCCAGCCACCCTCTTAGAGCATGAACTCTTCCCCCCTGCACCAGGGCAAATCCCAGAGCTGCGGGTCTGGACTAAAGGGCCCCAGTAGAACTGTGCATGGGGAGCCCAGTGCTGGGACAGCAGGGGCTGCAGGACAGGACTGAGGGGCACTGGCACAGGTAGGGCTCAGGGAAGGGCTCTGGCCACATGAGCCTACCCGTTCCTTCCTACCTGGCCCCACTACACCCCTGGAGTCCTAATATCGAGCCCCCTGCCACCAGGGCCAATGCCTCCCATTATCCTGGGGAGGGGAACAACGCCCCCAGACCTCCACTCCCAGGGCTGCTCCCCCCACAGTCCCTCCCTGCCAGAGCTGGCCCCCAGCATCCACTGGGACAGGGGATTTTAGGGCAGCTGTCCATGCAAAAGGCAGAAGTGGCTCGGGGGGGGGGGGGCGGGAGAAGGGGGATTTTCAGGAGCTTGAAAGCCCCTCACCCCCCCCAGGAGACAAGGGAGCAGAAGGTAGCAGACAGCCCCAGGGCACTGCCAGCCCAGGCTCTGAACCAGCTGCCCTGGGTGCAGTTAGCAGGTTCTGGCTGGACCAGAGCTGGAGTCTACGGGGCAGCCTGAGCTTTGGTTGGGGGTGCTGGTATTGGGGGGAGCTGGAGGGGGGGAAGAGCTAATATCTGAGGGAGGGTTTCTGGGGGCTGAGCACAGAGCACGTGTGGGAAGGGGCTGGTATTTGGGGGTCTCTGGGGGTGGCCAAGTAGAGGGTAGTTGGGCTGGGACAGGAACCGAGAGGAGGGTGCTTAGGGAGGGGGAGGGGCTGGTATTGGGGGCTCTAGGGTGGGGGCGGAACAGGGGGTGCTGGGGGAGAGGCTGGTATCTGGCGGGGGGCCCTGGGCCGGGCGGGGGATGGGGGAGGGGCTGGTATTTGGGGGGCCTGGGTCGGGGATGGTCTCGGGGGGCCTAGGGCCGGACTCGATTGGGATTCGGGGCCCTAGCGGGGGCGGGTTCCTGCCCCGGGGGGTTCTGGGTACCGGTTCCCCCGCCGGCCCCCACTCTCACCTCTCCGACGCCATCTTGGATCGAGCCTGACCCCGCACACCGCCCCCGCCAGCACGGCTCGGTTCCCCATTGGCCCGGCGCGGCCTGAGCCCCTCCCCCGCCTCCCAGCTCGCCCGCCAGCCTCGTTGCTGAATTATTTGTACAGGCCCCGCCCCGGTCATGAATATTAATAGCGTCGGTCCCGGACGCGCGGGTCCGGTTCTGTTCCGGGAGGTCCCTGTGCTACAGCCCGGACGTTCCGGGCCCCAGGCCAAGGTGACGTCCAGCGGCTGCTGCCCACGTCCAGGGGGTCCCCTGCCCTGGCGAAGGGATCCCGGCTCTGCTCAGTCCTGCCTGAGCGCTGTGGGGCCGCGCAGCGCCGGCCCAGGCCCCTGAGCTCGGGCAGCGCGTGGCCAGCTGGGGGTACTGACACTTCCGCAGGGTCACCCTCGTGGAGACCGAGCCTCCAGCTCCAGGGGGCCCAGCAATGCTGAGGGGGACCGAACAGGCAGCTGGGGCAGAAGTTACCGCTCCCCCGTGACCCAGACACACGGGGGCTCAGCTCAGAGGCAGGAAACAGATCTGGCTCAATCATCGCGGGAGGAGGGGGCTTCCACTGCCACACGCACACACAGTCCCCCACGTACCTCACCACATACCTACCCCCCCTCACCCCTGCGATCACACAGCCAGTGCGAGGCAGAGCTGGGAATGGAACCCAGGCATCCTGCCCCCCACCCCACCCCATCTTCTGCTGGCAACACATCCAGTCACAACCCCAACCCACTCACACCAAGTCCATGTGCACACCTCTCTCAAACACAAAGGCCCCCAACATGCCTCCACTCCTCTGCTATAACTTCCTCACCCCCCAAGCTGCAGGTCCTGGGGCCTTACCCCCACCCCCACCCCCCAACACCAACTGCAGGGGCAACAGTCCCTTCTCAGTCTTTATTTTGAAAAGGAGAAGGAATTGGCAAAGGCGACAGCAGATTGAGCTGTGTGGGATGTGGCACCCCTTTGTCCCCCTGAATAGCTGGAGTCTTCAGACAATTCCTGTTCCATTGATCCCAAAGCAGGATGTGGTTGCCGGCCATGACAATAGAGAGATGGTGGCCCGGAGGATGATTGAGCCAGGCTGCCCCAGCACACAGCCCCTGCTAACCACCGCAGAGCCCATCCAACAGTGGTAGATGGAGGTGGAGGCTGGTTTTGGCCCCTGGGTGTCTACCCTCTGTTGAGACCCCCTTGTCCACAGCAGAATCCACCCAGGCCCAGCTCAGCAGCACCAGGGAGTGGGGAAAGAAGGTGGGCTGGAACAGAAGTACTGAACACATCTGCATCCCCCACTTCCCACCCCCAGCCAGTTTCTCTAGCTGGGTCCCAGGGCAGAGACATGACCTTGTGGCCCTGCTGTAATTCCCCCACAAGGGGTGGGGAGACAAGAGCCCAGCAGCCTAGGAGCACTTGCAGTGAGCTGATGGGGCCTTGGGACCTGCTGAGCATGCTCAGTGCCTCACTGTGGGTGGCCCAGGGCCCTTTACTACCCCAGGGCAGCCGAAACCTGGGCCATCAAGCCCCTTGGAACCAGAAACTAAAGCTCCCAGTCCCTGAGAGAAACTGACAAGGGGGTGGAGTTTCCCCAGTGCCAGCTGCACCAGCTCCTGCCTGCAGCTCCAAGGACTGTGTGGGAGGTGCCATGACCCCCTCACGGAACCCTGGGAGAATTTTACAGTTACTCTTAATTGATTAAAAAAAAAAAAAAAAAAAAAAAGGGAAAAGTGCCCCCCCCCCCCCCCACTCAAGCAGCCACTGCAGTGTTTTAGGAGTGAGGCAGGAGCTAAGTCTGGGACTGTCCTGAGATGGCAGGGGTGGCTGTGCCGTGGGAGGAGTCCAGGACTGTCCTAGGATGGGGGTCAGCGCTAGGTCTGGAAGCGCCCTGACAGCAGCCCCAGGCGGTCGATATTCTTGTGCAGCACACTGTGCAGCACGCAGAGGTACTTCCCAACGTCACAGTCACGGGAGAAGTCGCGGAAGAAGAGCCCCTTATCGGCCTGGAAGGTGAACTTCTGGGGCAGGGGGCTGTTGTCCCGCACGTAGTCCCAGACGCTCAGCAGCAGCAGATGCACCTCGAAGGGCGCCAGCTGGTGGAAGATCTCGTGCATGTTGCCAAGCACTGGTGGCAGCAGGGAGCCCTCGGCCATGCAGGCCACCAGGGCGCAGGAGGCGTGCAGGTGCCACGGTGAGCTGGTGGTGTCACCGTGACGTGAGGCCTCCCAGTGGGCCATGAGGGTGGCTAGCAGGCCACGCAACAGCACGGAGCAGTAGCACAGGGCTGGGGGGCCGGCTGCCACCAGCCGCAGCAGCTGGAAGAGCAGTGGGTTGTCACGGAAGCGCCGGCAGATCTGGATGTCGCGCTCCACCGTGCTGCGGGTGTGCTCCTCGGGCGGCCAGCCCAGCTCGCTGTTGGTGACATCGGGGCAGACGCTCTCCACCAGCACCACAGCCACTGCCTTGGCTGCCTCGGGGTTGACAGCCGCTGTGTGGGCCGGGGATTCAGGCGCACCGTAGCGCCCGCCCCGGCAGCAGCGCAGCAGCAGGCTCAGGAAGTTCTGGACATTGTGCACAATCTCTTCAGGCTCCTGCCGCCGGGCGAGCTGGGGTGGCTTCAGCCCGCGCCCAATCACCCCGGCATGGAATACTGACCACACACTGCCAGAGAAGTTGACGGCAGTCGTGAAGCGCCGGTTGATGTCCAACAGGGAGATCCTGGTGCCTTCCAGGCTGGCATCATCCCCAGCAGGCAGCTCGGCCAGGCCTCCAAAGAGCTCAGCATTCCCTGGGTGCAGGGATCCCTCCACCAGTTGCTGCAGGATGGCCTTCATGGCAGCTGGAGAGGCCCCACTAAGACGGGAGAGCAGCCGGGTGCTGTAGCTGATGCCCGTGGGGCACTGGCGGTGCAGCACCAGGAAAAATTGGTGCACAGCTGAACGGATGATGACAAGCAAGTGAGCCGGCCGGATGGCCCGGGGCAAGGGACAGACGGAAAGCAGCAGGGAGGCAGCCTCAGCCACTTCAGGATTGCGATGCAGCAGCAGCTGCCCGAGGTCGTAGAGGTGCAGAGAGAGGACAGCCCCTAGCTGGGCGCTCATGGAGGCAGGGCCCTCCCCCTCCCACTGCACAATCAGGGCCAGGTTGTGGAACAGCTGCACCATGTGCTGCTCCGACAGCCCCCCCATGTGAATCTGGCACACGCACTTCTTGACAGTGGCTGGCAGCAGGTCGCTCATGCAGGAGCTCAGCACAGCATAGAGCTGCGTGGCCAGGCCCAGTTCCTCCTGGCTCCGGGACAGCGTCAGCAAGTAGAAGAGGGCGTCAGTGGTGCAGCTGGGGGTGCAGTAGACTGAGAGGAGCCCCAGCAGCTGATGCTGCCACAGGAAGCGCTTGCGCTCTAGCCGCAGCGTCTCCACGCACAGCTCCCGCACGTGGCCCTTCAGCTCATCCAGGAAGGGCACAGCCCGGGGCGGGGCGTCCCCCAGGCTGGCCGAGCCCCGGTTGTACACCAGCTTCTGCAGGTTGAGCAGCAACAGCTGGATGATGCGGTCACAGGCCTCGCGCACGCTGTCATGGACGGCCAGCCCTGGTGTGGTGATGACCGAGGCCGGCATGGCCGTGTTCACCAGGAACTGCAGGATACGGTAGGCCCCTGCTGACGTCTGGCAGATGAGATGCACTACAATGCTCACCATGTTCTCCAAGTCCTCGCGGGGCAGTGCAGCGAAGTGCTGGTGCAGCTGGCTCAGCACGCTCGGCTTGAGGGAGTCCACCAGTTCGGAGGAGATAGTCCCCAGCAGCATGGGCGACATGACGGCCAGCTGCAGCAGGAAGGGCACTGTAGCTTTCTGCTGCTGGTCACGCATGGGGCCCAGGCTCTCGTGGAACATCCGCAGCAGCTCCTGCTTGATGCTGTCTGAGTGGCGCGAGGCCAGGTGGCCCAGGATGCCCACCACCGAGGCAATCTTGGGCACCCGCTTGTCAGCGGCAGTGGGGAAGAGCAGGTCGACAGGGGCTGCCCCGTGGACGCAGAAGTCCTTGAGGCCGCAGGAGAGGACGCGGCTGATGATGGTGTTGGGGAAAGAGGAGCCAATGTGAGCCACCACCCAGTCGAAGTGCGGAGAATGCTGCACTGAGGTGTCCAGCAGGGCATCCACACAGGCATCGGGGCAGGTGCTGATCATGGAGGACAGGCACTGGGTGTAGAT